CGGTGCTTCCAGCAGGCAGCAGCCGCTGCCAGCCCCAGGGAGCCCCGACTTGGAACAAGGGGAGGAGGCGAAACCGGGGCAGTCTGGGCAGACAGTGCCTGCGGGCAGGGGTGGGAAGGCTCTGAGGAGGGATAAAAATCGCTAAAGGTGAGGAGAACAAATGGTTAACCTGAGGAGTGCCCCTAGGAAAAAGAGCAGAAACCCTATTTAACATGAAAAGGCCAAAGCGGTGCTGCTGGGCCCTGCTCTGCGGGGTGACAGCAGTGTCACCCTGCCGGCCTCCGTGACCCTGCAGGCTGCATCTGCTGGGTGTGCAACCCGCCAAAACCGAAGGGAACCTGTGGTCAGGCTCTTGGGGTTTTTCCTGTTTTGTTCCTCTTAACCTTACCGAAGCCGTGCCCCCAGGAGAGGTTTTCCTGTCTTGCTGCAGCCTTGCTGGTGGGTTTTGGTGCCGGTCCCAAATCGCCTCACCTCCATTTCAGAGAGCACAGGGCACTGCTGCACGTCGCTCCTCGGGGATTTTGGCTCGTACAAGAGCGAAAGGACATGGTTTGACCCCAGAAGCCAGACCGAGCTCTCGAGGCAGCTCCTCGCTGCCCCGTGGGCGCCGTTTCGCAGGGGGCAGCGCTCCTCTGCGCTGCTGCCTTGGGATGGGCGAGCCAGGTGGCTCTTGCTTTTTCCAGCTCTGATTATTTATTTTTTTTTTTAGGGTTTGGACAAAACCCAAGATTTGCTTGACGTGCATGCACAATGTTTATAGCAGAGCTGGACAGCTGAATGAAGTCAGCTGAGGACTTGGGCATACGAAATGGATGTAAGGGAAGGCTGGTGGTGTCTTCAACTGGAGGTGGTCGTAGTCTGCTGCTGGGTGGGTTTTTCCCCATCATAAAAGAGCTGGCTTGTTCTGGGTCAGATTGACAGCTTTGCTTTATCCCAGCATCCAGTGAACATCTCCATGTTGGGCTGCTTGGGGGCTAGGTATGAAGCGGGTTTTGAGAGAAATTCCGGAGCAGTCCCTGGGGACAGCATCCCCGCAGCTTTCTGGGAGCCCGTTAAAGCTTTTGTCTTAATTGACGGGGTGTTCAGGGAACTGCTCCTGGTGGGAGCTGGAAAACCAAGCGGCTGTGGAGAGCAGGAACTGGGAGGAACTGGTGAGCAGCGAGCCTTCAGCTGAGCGGAGAGGCTCGGGTTTGGTTCCCGGCTCAGCGAGGCAGGACCTCGATCTTCCCACCGCTCCGTGTCAGCCGCTTACGTGCAAAAGGACAATGGCAATTTCAGAGGTTTCAAAGCATTTTAAAGTGTAACTATCACGGCCTTTATAGGGGCGGTACAGTGGCATTTCTATAAGCCAAGCTTAAGGCTTTAGCATAACGTGCATTGAATCCCCTGGGCTGGCTCCCAGCCGTGGGGCTCCCGTCCTCCCCATCAGAGGCAGGACGGGAGGTGTGGGGGTGAAGGGGGACGGCCCCGAGACCGCTCTAAAGAACCAGCACTGCTGCAGACCTGCTGCTGGGCTTCCCCCAGTCCGGGGGGAGGTCCACGAGCCCGTTTCCCGAACAGAAACAGGACACAAAAAAAAAAAACAACACCCAGTTCCCCAAGGCATCAATAACACGCCCCCACGGAGCCACCGCAGCCGAGGTGGGGAGGATGAAGATGAGGATGAGGATGTGCGGAGCCCGCTGCAGCCTCGCCACGACTCCAACCTGTTGCTCTGCGGCGAGCCGGGCGCGCTGACAGCCCTCGCCTGGCTTGGGCTGCTGGCGGGGCGTCGGGGGAGCGGGTTTATTGTGGGGGAACAGATGTGCCGTGCGCTGCTGCCGCGTGCCGGCTCTGTGCCGCTGTGCCCAGCACCAGGTGCAGCCATTGTTCCTGCTGGTCCCTATTCAGCCGCCCTCGTCTGCTGCGCCCCGCTCGCTCCCTCATTGTTTCCCGAGGAAATTAGCATTAAAAACCCATCCGAAACCCCCATGTCCCTCAACTGCAGGTGACTGTTATTGGCCCCAGCTGCCACCCTCGTGCTTGATTACTTCCATATGGGGTTGTGGCAAGAAGTAGGATCCACTTATTGATTTTTTTTTCCCCTTTTTTTTTTTTTTTTTATTCCCCCCACCCCACACACACTTCAGCACTCCCGAAGAACAATGCCCTGAAATCTATTAAGCCCCCGATAGGCTCTGCATCCCAGGCACTGTTACAACTGCGATGAACATTTTACAAGGAAAGCTAATTACACCCTCTCCCTGCCTCCTTCCTTTCTTCACCCCCACCCCATAAATGTAAAATAGCCAGAGGGCAAGTGGCAGTAAATTAAATCTTTGCAGTGTCCTGAGAGGAGGTCCCTGGCTAGCAGGAAAAAGTCTGTTGGTTTGCGATGTTTGGTGTTGGGTTTTGCTTGCTTTTTTTTGTAATCAGAAAATGGGAAACCCGTCTGCCTGGCATGCTTTTATGCCACACCTATAAAACAAACAAGCAGATCCCAACGTGGGTCTGGATAGAGAAGGAAGAAAACAAACAGGTTGGTTGTTAATTTGTTCGTGTCGTCAAACGTTGAGAGGAGCTGAAGGGAAACCACACGCAAATCGAGGCTGCCAAATTCTGGGAGCGGGATTGTTTTCCCCCAGTACAGGCTGCACGGGACCCAAACCCCCAATCTCTGCTGGGTTTCTCGCTCCAGAGCAGCAATGGGGGCAGCCTGATGGTTCCTAGCTGAAAGGACAGTCCAGAAGGAGGATGGATGGATTGTGTGCTCCTACGGAGGAGTTTTGGGTCTCCCAGGAGGAGTTTGTTGAAGCTGCAGCATTGCAGCTGATGGCTCCTGGCTGAGCAGCTCGCTGGGGGCTGATCTTCTCCAGAGCACCCGGCCGAGCTGTTGGATGCGCTGCCAGGAGCTCAGTGGGCTGGCTGGAGAAGAAATCCTTTCCACACCCCGTGAGCCTCAGCCATCGCAGCCCGAGAGGCTGTTTTGTAGAGGATCGGTGGGATTAACGCATACAACCCTTGCCTTTGCCTTCTTGGAGTGCCCCAGCAGCCACCTCCCTGAGGGTCTGCGCCGTTCCTTGCTGGTGATGCCCTGGGCAGCTCGTGCCCCTGCACTGCTGACACCCATAAATGTATCTGAATCTGCCCAGAGAAGACCACAGATGTTCTCTTCTGTCCTTAGAGCAACCTGTTAAGAACTGGTAACTGTCCAGATTGAAGCAAAACTAAGGAATATTGTTATGGACTATTTTTACTTTCCTTCTCATTTTTTTTTCCAGGTTATGCTCAGTCTTTAGAACATGGCCCTTCCAGTGGAGGAACTGTAGTAGGATGCTGGGGATGGTCGGTCTCTGGCCTTGCTTTCTTCCCAAGTCTGAGAAGGGAATTCCCATTTTCCCCCAGCTGCTCACTGGAAGGTGTGTTAAAAACAGAGAAGCCTTTTTGTTCAGATAACGCAGCATCTGTGGGCAAAGCATCCCTCTTGCTAGGCTGGAAGAGGCTGAGGCAAGTGGTTATTCATGTCCATGTCTTTGGGAACAGCCGGGACTTGGCTGGTTGACCTCACAAGTAGGAGTGCAAAGTTTCCTACAGGCAAGGACTAGGCTTGTCCGGAGGCTGTGCGTCTCTCGTAGGCTCCCTGGTGTTTGTCCGGCTGCCCTCCACCCCGAGGAGCACCCTGCCTTGATGGGGGACTCCACCGCTGTGGTTCGTGAGAAGGACTCAGGATAAAACTCGGGTTGGCACCTGAGGAGAGGGGTTTTACTCAAGCAGTCGGATCACCTGCTGCATGTGCCTCCTCCGTGACACAGCCCCCCCCGGCCAAGCTGCCCAGCGTGGGGCAGGTTGTGCACATCTGGCAGCGGGCTTGTAAAAAAGAAAACAAAAACGACAACAAAAAAAAACCCTTAAGGTGAGTCGCCAGGTGATGGGGTCAGCGGGATGGATGGAGCCAGAAAAGCAACCACACGCAGTATCCTGAGCAATTTTCCTCAGACTTGTTTTAAACCCTTCAAAGTCAAATCTCAAACTTAGGGGGTTTCTTCTCCCTAATTAAATTAACAGGCCATATGGTGTTTACTGTGAATGCCTGCAATATGGAAGGAGCTACCTCCTGGATCACTTTCTTTTTCAGAAGAAGCTGCTTTACCTGATGTCGCTGTTCTGAAATGTTCTTTTCAGCAGCGGGTGAGATGGGTTATTTCAGCCGCCGCTGGTGTCACCTTCTGGTCTGGGAGATGAGCTGTGCCGTAACCTTCTGTGTGTCTGCAGCCTCTTTGTCTTCTCCCAGCGTTTGCAATGCTGTTGTGCTGCCCGGTGGCAGCATGCACAGGTCAGGGCTGGTTTTTCAGGCGTTTTCGCCTGATTGCTTTCTCGATCTTGGAGCTGAGGAGCATAGAAAACACCTCAAGGTTAGGGCTTGGGGGTGTTTTGTTAACAACTACTACTACTTTTGTATCAAGGCAAACGTTACCATCTCAGGAGTATGTGAAACAGAAAGTTTTGGAGTTCTGTTCTTTATTAACGGAGTGCTTAAAAACAGTGCTTTGCTTGAGCTGCTTTTATCTTTGCATGAAATCTGGAGGAGGAAATTAAGACTTTGGGGAAGTAAATCACCGGCTTGTTACTGGGCCCTTGTATTTAGGTGAATGGCAAAGTGGGGGAGGCATCTCCAACCCTCCAGGAGAAATGAAGGAACAAAAGCTTGGATTTGCTGTCTGTATTCAGCTACTTTAAGTCATTTAGTAGGGTTTGGGGGAAGCATAATTCTTCCGTGCGTGTGGCCTTTGCCGTTGGCTCATCCTGCGTCTCTGCAGCGTTGGAAGTGAACCTTGCTCTACAATCTTAACTTGTTGGTAGATCTCTTTCGCAGGGGCTCGGTGCTGGCGGCAGGGCTGGGTTCCCCTTCATCTTCAGCCAGGCTCGGCGTGCGCTGGGCTGTGTGGGCTCCCGGGGGCAGCCACGTTTCCGTCCGCTGCAAACACGCTGCTGCATTAGCATATTCCCTGTAACGTATGCTCAAAGGGTGCTTCTGTGCAGAAGAGCCTCTCTAAAGATAGCATCATGAAGTTCTGTGTTGTCAACCAGGGACACTTGATCTAAAAAACAACATTTGATACACAGACAAGGTTTGCAAGTGCCATCTGGATTCTGGGAGATGAGCTGGGTTGTGTCTGTTTTGCATAAACTCACCAGGAGAAAAAAAAAAGTACTTGTAGGCAGATTAATTCTTCGGGATCACCTGAGCAGGACTGTTTATTCCACGCAAATGCCCTCGGTGACATCGGACACCGGTGTAATCCCATACCGCCGGGCAGCGTGTGCTGGTTGTGCATCCTTGGGGGGCTGGAAATAGTCGTGGAGCTCAGTGCTGCGCAGTGCTCGGCCCTGCCCGAGAGCGGGACTGAAACCCAGGTGCAATCTATTTAAATGCTTTTGAGCCTGTGATATTTTCATCTGTTCTCCAGCCCGCTGCAGGACAGGACCCAAAAACAGTGCAGAGCCCTACAGAAACGGCTGTATTTTTAGGGAGATGGGGGTGCAGATGCCTGTCCTCAGAAGTACACCATGGCCCCGGCAGAAACCCAAAGAGCATCAGGCGCAGCCCTGGGCTGAGCAGCAGTGCCTGCATGTAGGTATAAAACATATTCTACTTCAGGGCCTGTTTTGTGACTTTCTAGTTCTCCTCTCATATGCAAATGTCATTTGCCTAATGGGCTGGTGAGTGTAATTGAAAGGCAGCCTGCACTTACACGATGGTGAAAAGTCTCACCTGTGCCCAGGCACAGATGGGGCCCTGCCTGGCTGCTGCATCATTAGAGGGAATTTATAGGCACCGTGGCACAGGCCTTGCTGTGACTGGGGGGAGGATAGCCATTTAAAACAAACTTGTTTTTTATGTTTTTCTTTTTTTTTTTCCACTTGTTGGTGTGTGGGGTGCCGTCTCTTTCCTCGTCTGCAGTTGCGGTGGTCACGCTTCTTGGTTAACCTCTGTCACCAGCTGACAGTGAGCAGCTCGCTGCTGACCCGTTTGTGGCAGAGCCAGGAGCTTGAAGCCCTTTCTGTGCTGTGTGTAGGATGATGATTTGGAAACGAGTGCATCAGCAGCCGCCCCGTGTACGTCCCTATCCCCTGGGAGCTGGGCCGAGCCCACCCTTCACTCCATCCCCTGAGGAGCTCTGGAGCTCCCAGGGCTGTCCGTGGGACACCTCTGCCTGCACCAATTGTGTCTGTGTCCGTCTGCTTGTGTGGGGCTGTGGCTCCAAAAGGCCTTACAGGCCTGTAGGTGCCCACCCACACCAACTCTCTTGGATGCCTTTAAAATCCGCCCCCCGTGCCTTGCTGCCAGGGCCCAGTGAGGCAAGGTTATGGCTGGGTGCAGGGCGAAGGGAAGAGCGATTTGGGTGGGGATGTGAGGAGTTTTTCTCACAAATATCCTCTTGGCTTGGATCCCGTGCCTGTCGTTGATCAGGAGTGTTTGTGGGGCTGCAGGTACCGTGCTCAGCACCCGAGGGGATGAGGCACCTCAGGGAAAGGGGCAGAGGCCTGGCTGGCCAGGTCCTGCCTGCGGCCCTCCCCTGGGGCTTGGGCACCTGCATGAAATTGTTAATGACGGGGTGGAAATGACTTCTGCCCCCCTCCAACATGCTGCAGGCCTCTGTTTTCATGGAGACCTGGTTTTAGGTCCCATTTAATGGAGTGTCAGCCCTGGGGCTGGTTGGCAGCGCCTGAGCTCCTGCTCCTCAGCCCTGTGAGGCCCTGCGATGGGACCGAGCAGCCCATCGGAGTCATCCTCCAGGGACCCAAGGGGGCTCCTCCAGCCGTTTTTCCTTTGTCTTTATGTGGCTGCTTCATTCTGGGCAGAGTTTGGATGTTTTTTCTTCTTCTGGCACAGAAGACCTTTGTTTTCACCTGACCACGATGAGGTTCAGGACTCGCACCTGCCCTGCTCTGTGCTTCACAAACAGGTTGGCTTTTTCTAGTTTAATTGAGGCTTTTGGTAATAGCTTCAGGCGGCCTTGGTGTTACCTTTGCCTCTCTGTGGTCTAGCGGATTGGTACAGATGGTGGTCTTCTGCCTTGAGATCTTCTTACTTCTTAAAGAAGTGCTTGTGCTTTTTTACTTGGTGTTATTGGTGTGCTGCTTGGGGTGCTGGTATTTCTGGGTCTGCCTCATAGGAGTGGACCTTTTTTTATCTTAGTTCCTATATTGTTCAGTCTGAGTATTTCCTACTCATCAGACACCTTCACCCCTTAGACGCCAGACCTGCTGGAGCCATTCTCATTAGCTTCAGGTCCCTGCATGCTCAGTGGCATCTCTGATGCTGCAAGAAATCCAGGTTTGCTCAGTGCTAGCTATTTTTGCAGTCAGTGGTGGTTTTTTAGGTTGATTTATAATGATGGGAACCAAATCATTCAGCAGCAGAGCTTGGGAGAAGGAGAAAGGGAAGAGGAATGCAACCCCGAATCATTGTTTTGAAGCTTCTGACTTAAACCATCCTCCTGTGGATCTTTTGGTCATTAGGCTAAAAACTTCTGAAATCTTCAAATACTCAATGACTTTAAGAAGAGTTGGTTGTGGCTTTCGATCCATCCTCTTATTTTAAAGAAACCCTGCCCTCAGCAGCTTTCTCCCACCCCAGGCCCTGCAACGTGCTGCCCCTGGTGCTGCCCAGCTGCTGCCCACGTTGCCCATCCTTGAGGTGTTTTAGCTGTCCCTCCTGGTTCAGCTGCGCTTGGAAATGCAGCTGAAAACCTGCAGTTTTGCTCCCTAAAGCCCTCCTGGTTATGAGCGACTTCCCTCGTGGTGTGCTGGAAGTCGGAGGGGGATTTAGGTGGCAGTCTGCAGCCAGAAGCATCGGGGCTGCAACAGGAGGATTTGCTATGCTGGACACGTTGGTCAGAAAGATCCTCTTAAGGATGGGTGGGAGCTTCTGTAGAAACAGAACAGCCTCGTGCCGGTGCATGGGCTGCCTGCTTCTCAGCATCAGCCCCTGCAAAGCAGGCACAGGCTTGCCAGGAACCCAGCGGCTCTGCAAACATCAGCTGGGACGGAGCACGGTGGCCACGTGTCGTGATGCAGAGGCAAGTGGTTTGACCTCGATCTCTTTCATTTGAAACAGCGTGTCTGCAAGCGCGGAGGTTAACAATGCACCAGCAAATGAAATGGACCCTGCTTGACGTGAGGTTTTTCCCAAAGGGAGCTCCCTGGATGACTGATCCTGGGCAGGCAAGGATTCATCACGTAGTGAGGAGAGAGGAACCGCTGGTGGGAAGCCCTTAAGCAAAAGGGCTCACTGCAGTGACCTAGAAACAGCATCTTACTCAACATCTGCTAAATTTCTTACAGAATTGGCTAGAAAATCACTTTCTCTTCCACAACTTTATTTTTCCTACTCAAATTAAGATCTGGGGAATAAATGGGCAGTGAAAAAGTAGGGTCAGCAGCCTGGTAGCTCAGAGCAGACCATTGTGGCTTTTTTCCTGCTTCCAGCAATGAACCAAACTCACAGTGTGGAGGCTGCAGGATCTGTCTGCAAGATAGATGAGCTGTCCGATGCTCCCTGCTACAGCCTGTGCATACCAGGCAAGGTGCTTGGGTTGGGAACATCACTCTCAGTGCTCACCCGAACGTTTTGCAGCAGCCCTGCACAAAGAAAGGGCTGCATCGGCGGCGAGCGCTGCTGCAGCGTCGTAGCCGTGGCCGGGATTTTGTTCAGCCTCCTAGGAACAGTGCTGCAAAATCACAGCCCTGCTGCTGCAGAAATGCTGCCTGAAGGTTCCCTTCCCTGGGCACTGCCAATGTTGTGCATGCCCTGCTCGTCGTGCCCGTGCCAGGGTGAGTCTGTCCTGCAGCTGGAGACAGCCTCCGTGCCACCGGCCCCACACGGGCTGCTCCGTGGGCTGCTTCTCCTGCTGGGGCTGCTCCTCCAAGTCTGCACCAGCATCTCGTAATTTTCTGCAGCGAGCCCATATAAATCAGCGGATCCGTTTCTATTGACCATTAGGAGCTGTGGAGAGCCCCTCAGAGCTAATTAGTAATAAGAGGATGCCAATTAAATGCTGCTCCCTGGGCTGTACTGTCACTTCTCCGATACTGCTGCGTTGAAGGGGAAGGTAACAAAATGGAGCTCAGCGCATATGTATTCCATCTGGGAAGCAGGAGAAGGGTGGAGCCGCTTGTTAAATGGCAAGCGGTCCAAGTTTTAAAAGGGTTTATGAGTGCTAGATAAAATCATATCCTAAATGCAGTCTCAAAGCCTTTGCAAAGGTAGAAAACGTTTACAAAAGTTTGAGCTTGCTTTAGTGACTGTTCTCCTTTTCGGGTCACCCATTTACAGGCATGGAAGTTGTATCTTTATCTGGTCTGTAGTGTTTAATGTAAGCAGGAAGAAAAAACATTTCCACGCTGCAGATTATAGTGCAAAGGTGTTCGATAGAACCTAGGGGAATTCTCATAACAAATGAGTTTCATTTACCTTCAGCAGATCTTAGCCCAGCTTTGTTCTAAAAGCAGTACTTGCACAGGTTTTGAAGGCAGCCTCACCCATCCCGAAGGTTTTGCTTTGTGAAACTCAAGTCCTACCTTAACAGACTGGAGGATGAAATTGATTTTGTGCTGTCAGTACCCTGTGCAGCAGGCTGGCTTCTCCAGAGAGGGCTTGTGCTGAAAGCCTGCTAAAACTGGTGGGCATTGAATAGATACCAAAAACGAGGCCGCTAATTAGGAGTAAGAGTTTTGGGGTTGTTTTAAATGGGTACCTCTGTAACCAAGACGTGGAGGAGGGGGAGGAAGGCTGCAAGACCCCAGTGTTGTGCTGGGGGCTTTGGCCTTGAGGCACAGAGGCCGCCTTGTACACAAAACAGAGGCTGGAAAGAGCAGGCCTTTGGGGACAAGCCCTTAAAGCCAACTTCTTTAATGCCCTCGTGCCAAAAGATTGGCAGAGATGGTAGAAGTGCTCATGTCACCCCTGTAAAGTGCAGTTAACTCAATTCTTGCTTTCGCTATGTGCAGCGTTGGCTGTAAGTGAACCTCGGTCTCTTTGTTCCAGACGCGACCTTTCTGTGTGTGAATCAGTCCCACAAAACGGTCATTTTAAAAACACAAAACCTGACACCAAGCCGTTGCTCCGAGACTCTTTCTAAGTCGTCTCCCTTTTGTACTTGTTGTGTCTGGGCTCCGCCGGGCTCGGGAGCTGTTAATCTTCCTCATGTTTTCTTCCCCGTGGCAAACGAGAGGCAGATGTTCCCGTCTGGAGAGCTCCGCGCCCAAACGCAGCCGGGGTGCTGGGAGAGCAGGCAGGGACTTTTGGGGACTAATTCGTCCCTTGTTGTCAAAATTGCCTGGCCGGTTAGTTTAATTAGTTTCATTAGTTGCTTGGGCATTGGTCAAAGGCAGTTGGCCCCCATGAGGCCCTGGTTATAACCTGGCCTGGTGGGCTGAGCTGTGCCGGGGGTGGCTTTGGGGAGCGCTCTCCTGATCCCCACAGCGCTTTCCTTTCCACCTTGAAGGCGAAATCCTGGCTGCTGCCTTGGTTTTGGTGCCAGGGAGCCGAAGCTCGGAGCCAGCTCCTGATATCCGAGTCCCCAAATGTGTTTGCTGGGTGTGAGCCGTGCAGGGAGGGCAGGGATGGAGACGGCTTCTTGGTAAGCAGCCCCAGCTCCCGGGAGGCTGCTGAGCCAGGCGTAGGTGGCTGTGCGGCCAGATTTCACTGTCTTAGTACCTACTCATAGGATCATAGACTCATTTAGCTTGGAGAAGACCCTTAAGATCACAAAGCTAACCATCAACCTCTGAAGTCTGCTGCTAAATCATGTCCCTGAGCAACACGTCCACTTGTTCCTTGGTGTGGGGGTA